CCGCACATGGCCGCCTCCACGGCTGCGCCAGCGTCGTCGTCGCCGACGCCAACGGCGGCCGAAGACCAGCAGCAGGCCAGCAGGGAAGGGCGCGAGAAGAGTTCGGCGAGCAGCGGCGCCGGCACCCAAATGCAGTCCACCACCCGGGCATCAGGTGCACACCATCGACGGTGCCACAACGGCGGCGCGCGCGTGGGGTGTGGCACGGTGTCTGACAGGGGGATACCTCAGGTGCGCCGGTTTGGTGTGCGTGGGACTGCAGCGACCTGTGGTCCTGGAACGGAGTGCTGAAGATATTCATCTTCTTCATTGCCTACCTCCTCTACGGTACTCTCCCTCGCCACGACACGACACGACACGCACACGACACCGATTGACACACGCGTGTGTGTGTTCACAACAGCGGTGGCATTGGAGTGGGTCGAGGAGAGACTGCTCAGCGGAGTATCGGAGGACTTTGAGGCCATCCAGCGGCAGCTCCGCGCGTTCGGCGTCGTCTCGCAGCTGATGGCCGTCGCCCTCTCCGGCGTGTTCCTGTTCTTCGGCTGGATGGCCTTCCGGCACGAGCTCTCTCTGCCGCTCTTTGTCGCCCCGCTCGGCCACAAATGCCTCACCGTCGCTTCGGTACTCACGCCACACACACACACACCACGCGTGTGCGCACGTCGTGCCATTGCTCACATTCCTTGTGTGTGGAATGTGCAGTATTTGCCGAAGGAGCTGTACCTGTTCCTGTTTCTCACGGGGCAGGTGGGCAAGCGGCTGGCACTGGCCTGCAAGGCCGGCGTCGAGTGGGTGACCCGGGTCCGGCGGATACTCGCCGCCCAGCGCCACCTCCAGGGCAAGTCGTGGGCGCGCGTGGCCAGAGACGCCGCCACCCTCCGCTTCGCCGAATACATCTTCCTGCTCCTCTTCCTCGTCGATTCTCTCGGTATCCAAACGTGACTGTCATGTGTCGTGTCGTGTGTGTCGCGTGTCGCGTGTCGCGTGTGTCGTGTGTGTTGTGTGTGTTGTGTGTTGGACCGCTCGCTGAATCGCAACAAAAATGTGTGTGTAGGGAGCAAGAGCGAGGGCGATAACCACGCGTGCGCCGAGGTGGCGGCCTTCCTGCTGGCGTGCGAGTTCGTGGCTCTCCTGCTCAACCTCGCCGTCACCTTCCCGAACGACTACGTCCGACAGGCACGCTGCTCCCCCCCTTTCTTTAC